GTGGGATGAACTCAAATGCTACCCAAAGAATGCAACAAATCCAATTACCCTTGATCAGAAAGTAAATTGGTGGGGCCTGGCGGTTCAGATTGATCTTATAAACAGTTGATCACCGTCTATTAATGTCTCAGTTTATGTTTAACAAATATCTAGCACAAGTTCCGCAACACACACTCACACGAGAAAAGGGAGAAGTCCACTGGTCCAACTCAACTCCTCCCCATCTCCTGCACACACTCTCTCTCTCTCGACTGAGAATTGAAAAACCTTGAAAAAGAAAATATAAAACAGAAACGAATACAACGAGAAAAAGAGGGGAAAAAACATTTTTTTTCCTCCCTCAATTCATCACTCTGAAGACCTCTCTGGCTTTGTTTCTCTCTCTTTCTTTCCCATGACTGACGGCTCCAATCGCAGAATCCTCGATATGGGTTTTACTTGCCATCTGTTTCTCTATGATACCCACATCTCTGTTTCCACTCTATCCATTTCCTTTTTTTTCTAGCACTACCTTCCACTGTCAATAGAGTTTCTCATGCTTTTCCATGGCTGGTCGTGGTCGCATCAATTTTTGAACACGAAACATGGGTTCATGACTTCATTCCCCCTTATTTTCATTTGCTGATTACGAGCACATATTTTCGTGTTCCTTATTTTTGTCTCTCCCTTTGTCGAGTTCGAGTATTTTCTTGTTCCCGCACTCTCCCCGACGCTCACATTTATAAGCGATTATTCTTTAAACCCAAGCAATGACTTTGTTTTCATTTTTTTGTGCTCTTTAAAACCCACAACTTCGTTTTCGCTATAACGCTCTAGAACAGCCGCTCTTGCTGTTTCTCTATCTATTGTCTTTTAGATGCTTGCTCTAGGGAAGAAGAACAAGTAAACCATGTATTTGTCCGAAAAGCCTCGCCCGATCGATTTCTATAAGGAGGAAGGGAGGGACATGATGATTGAAGTAGTTGGTAATGGCGGGTTGCCGCCCCAGCAACAACCGCAGCAGCCGCAGCAACAGATGATTCTTGCAGAGAGCAGTGGAGAAGACCATGAGGTCAAGGCTCCCAAGAAGCGAGCGGAAACTTGGGTCCAGGATGAAACTCGAAGCCTCATCAGTCTTCGCCGAGAAATGGACAGTCTTTTCAACACTTCTAAGTCGAATAAGCACCTCTGGGAACAGATTTCGTCAAAGATGAGAGAGAAAGGCTTCGATCGTTCACCAACCATGTGCACCGACAAGTGGAGGAATTTGTTGAAGGAGTTCAAGAAGGCAAAGCATCAAGATAGAGGTAGTGGCTCGGCTAAGATGTCTTACTACAAGGAACTGGAGGAATTACTCAGAGAGAGAAGCAAAAATGCGCCTTACAAGAGTCCCACGCCTTCTAAGGTCGACTCCTACATACAATTCTCAGATAAAGGTACGCGTTCTTCCTTTTCTGCTTAATTTTGTTTAATCAACACGGGACAACTCTTTTGTACACCTTTTCTAGAATTTGAATTTGTACATCGGTTTTTTTTTTTAACAATTTAGCTTAATGAATTGATGAGATTTTATAAAGCCTTGAAATTTCATAGATAAAGTTGGGTGGGTGTTGGTTATTACCTTAATTGAAGTCTTTAATGAGTATTGGATATTTATCTACAGAAATAATTCCATTGCCTGGAAAGTTTCCTTGAAGCCATGTTCGATATACCTAATAAAAACCAGTGATGGCAATTGCTTTTTCTTGCCTCCTAGACGTTAGGCGCTGAAAAGTTCTTAAGGGAAGGGGGACTCCATAGCTTTGTTCAAGCATTTATTGGTTCTGTTCTTGAAGCTTGCCTTCTGTTGATTCTGAATGATGAGGCTCCAAAACATCTATATGACATACGCTTTTTTTCCTTGTCACCATCGCTTAAAGTATTTTGCACATCTCTTAACTCTTGCTAGGCAGTCCTCTAATGAAGCTACACATCTATCACCTTGCTTGGTTCCTTGTCCTTGTTCGATGCAATGTTTATAGATATACCATTCTACTGTGTTTTCCTTTTTGAAGTTTATGTAAAGAATGAGATGTTGCCTATCAAAGTTATGGAGAGCTCTCTTTGTTCAGTAGCCCATGCATTAAAGAGAGTAGTGCTTTCTTTGGTATGTTGCCATCTCTTTACCCAAGTAGTTCATTTGTAAAGGATGGACTGATTGTTCATATTTGTGCATTTAGTATATCCCTTTATGTACTACCCACTATTTTCCATATAATTTAATACATATCAGAATGGTATAAAATATTAGAACATCTCAGTTATCTAATAAGAAAAGGATAGCTATTGTTCATGATAGAACCTCAGTTGAATAAAATTTCTTTACCATATGGCACATCTGTTCTGTCTTGCTCCATTCATGAACCTAAATCTGGAGTGTGTGCATGTAAGTTGGCACACGCTTAGATCTCTCTCTTTCTCTCTCTCAAATCAGTTGGGCCATCTCCTATGTTGTCTATGTAACATGAAGATGTTGACTTCAAGGGTAACTAGTACCTAAAAATGTAATTGCTGAAGGAAGGGTTGTGAATCTTTAGGTGATAGGAATAAGAGGAGGACGAGGAAGAAAGATGAATCTGATAGAAAATTACAGTGAATCTGGGGAAGAGTCTTACAATAGATCTAGAACTCTTAAGTTGGAGTCTGTCTGACCCAAGGGAGGGGGTAGCTGTAGGTAGTCTCATACTACATAGAAGAATTTCACCTCTCAAGGAAGGTAAATGAAAAGGCAGTGAACACTTAAAAGTTTCATTTCACTAATGTGAAAGGAGGCATGTAATTTGTTACTTATTGAGGAGTTGGTGATAAAAAAGAACTTATTGAGCCAGTACTAGTTGAAGTTTGTCTTATATCAAATCCTAATTGTCACACACAGTACTAGTTGAAGCTTGTCTTATATCAAATGAATTTGCTGGAGTAAACTTATAATGAGTCAAACTTTTTTGTCTTTTGTTTGGTGGGAAGGAGGCACTTCACCTGAGCTTAAAACTGATACGATAAGGCCTTACCCAGTTGCATCATTAACCATTTGCCATACACCATATTGTTGTAAGCCGCTTTTATATGTCATGGATTTTTAAGGAGTTTGATTTTGTGCCTCACTTGTTTGGTAAATTGGTTCAATGAAATCCACAATTTCACGAGGTTTTTGGACATCAAGTGTTTGACAAAATGATGAAAACTTTGGCAGGGGTCATTGCTTGGTGCAATGGTAAAATCTTGGGTTGAGAAGTGCAAGACCATGGGTTTGAATATGATCCTAGTGAAATATTTTAGCTAATTGCTAACATGTTCTTATAGATTGAGCATCACATGGACATGGCATTGTAGAAATATGGTATTCAATAAGCTTCAAATAAGATTTACTTTTTGTAATGGTGTGTCTGGGTAATTGTTATGAAATTTATATCCTATTTATTTTCTACATCTTGTCCGTGTTGTCTGTCATGTGACTTGTATTCCTCCTTGAAACTGAAACCTGTGGGGTATTGGGTTTTATTGCTACCATGTATTTTGTCCTTTTCCTTTGCTCTAAGTTTCTAACCATCAACCAGAACTATTAATCCTTCAAAAGTTTGGTTTCTTACTGATTCTATTACTAACTATGTTTTCTCCTGATAGATGATGAAGAAATAATAACCTTAAAAACCAAAGAGCCTAAATATCCACACCCGGAGGCTAGTAAGAGGGCCAAAAAGCCACATCAAAGCCTCCTCCATTATACAAATTATCCCATGGATCCTTCCTTGGAAAGAGAGACATCCAATGTATTACCTAAATGTTGAAGCTGTGAGAAGGAGATGTTCATTTGAGAGGCCATATATCATATAACATGCATAGCATGAGAAAGTTGTGAATACATGGAAACATCGTCATCTAAGCCTTATTCCCAACTATATGGGGTCGGCTACATGAATCCTGTTTGCCACTGTTCTGTTTAGACTTTAGTGCCATATCCATTGTAAATACATAGAACCATCATTGGAAATTGAGCTTCTAGAATTTCTTATAATCATCTTCAATGCTGACACTAGGAAAAGGAAGATCCTTAGAAGATTTGATGCTTTTTGGAAGAACAATGCTACCATCAGCCTGTTTGCCAAAAAAATTATGAAGAATCATCATTAATCTTCAACTTTTGTTACTTCTAGGGTCAATATGCAAACATGCAGATTATGCTAATGCAATTTTCCAGATTCCTCTATTGTCTGGACATCTTATAATCTTTCAAAACCAGCCTGTTGTGACTATTAGTGGCAATTTCTAATCCACCCATATAAGCCATGGGCCGAATATGGGTTGAATGGTTGAACCACCCATTCGGTCAAATAAAAATCATTGTGTTATGGGTATCCATTGGGTCAACTACATGAAAAAATTCACATACATTACTCTCTGCTAAACTCTCTCTCCCTTCTCCCCTCTCTCCTCTCTCCCTTCTCTCTTCTCTCTCAAATCATTTCTTTCCTCTCTTTTCTCATCTTGTTTCTCTCTCTCCTCTCATTTCTTTGTCTCCCCTGCACTCTCCTTTCTATTTTTCTTTTCTCTCCTACTGATTTTCTCTCTCCTTTCTCCCTCTAATTTTTAATCAAGTTCAATTTTGTGTGTTTAGGTTGAACCACCTGGTAGTGACATTTTTTTTTTGAAGAATCAAGAAAAAAAATTCATTAAAAGAAAAAATTACATCTTAACACCCTTGGTTGTCTAGATGACGTACCAGATACAATCTCAAAGCTTTAAAATGAAAAGGATCTGCATTGCAAGGCTGTAAAACAAGTAAATTCCAGAAATTTGCAATCAAAACAACTTTAGAGACTTAATCAAATTGCCTGATCTTCGTATCAAATTCAATGCTCTGCCCATTCTCCTCCCTCCTTCCTTCTCTCATACCCCTCACCATCCAGCTAAGAAACCTCATCTTCCTCCCCATCTCCCTATTTTCCACCAACTCCAATATCACTCAATCTTGGCCAATCCCTCCTCTTCTCCCCCTTCCTCGTCCCACCCCTTTTTTTCTAAGTATTCTTCCTTTTTCTTTTTCTCTCTATTTTCATTTTTTCAAACTTCCCAAATGCTATTTTCGCGAATCCTTCCCCTCCCCAAAAAACGAAACCAAGAGACTTTCCTATCTCGACCTCCCTCTCCACCAATTTTTTGATTTTCACCTTTCCATTTTGTACTAATTCCTTGACTTCTTGGTCCTTTTGAATCTGTTCTGCGCTCTCTCTCTCTATTCTTGTCCCCAGTCTTTGAAACTTCTCCTTCTTCTCCTTGTTTTTCTTCTTTTGTTCTCCCGATCGCATCCTCTCTCTCCCCTAATCTCTAGAGAACTACATCACCTGACTCTCTATCAATAATATCACTACTTTGCAGAAACCTGTTCACACCAGAATCAGGCACGACCCCACTTATCTCACCTTCCTGTTGTTACTTCGTCTGAGGGGGGGCCGAAAACTGAATTTGCTTTGTTGTCTCCCTATGATCTGTACCAGATGTCCCATTATGTCTCATTCTTTTCCTCTTGTACACCCATTTGTATTTTTTTAAGGTCCCAGCCTTGCCAAGCCGAGTGCCTTGAAAAAATCTTCGTCACATGTGCGATGTTATGATTTCTCGAATTACGTGACTTCTTTTTGGTCATCTCATTAATCTGTTCCTCCTCCTCCTGAAAATTGTTTCCTCTACCCAAATCGATGCCCACCCTTCCAACCTTAACCTCCATGTGGGGTAGTCTATCCTCTACAAGGTTTTCACCCTGTCCTTCAGGGAATTCTTCACCATGAGACACTTCCTTTCCTGTAGCCTCACCTTCAATCTCCAGCTCTACATCAGCGCTAGCATATTGTCTCCTCCCCCTTCCACCTCTCTGATTCTGCAGAGACAAAAAATTTTGGTGTTGTCACGTCTGATTTTTCAAATTCATATCTAGCCTCTAGGGGCAACTCAACTGCATCTCCAGGCTTGGAGAAGCCACAAATCTTGACAAGCTCCTTGCTAACTTGAGGAAAATGCCCGACATCACCAATTGCTGGAAAATATGGGTAGTCGTCGAAAGTCTTTCCTTTTTCCACCTACTATCCTCTTCCTCCCATTTTTGTCATACTCAGCTATCACCCAAATCCATTCATCTCCTTTTTTTTTTTCTCTAGCCACATTCGAATATCTTCTCCTTGTTAATCCACTCCTTTAAAGTTTGGTCTGCTAAGCCAGGAGACTTTCTCTTGTCGCCACTCACCCTTCCTTCTCTTGAACCATTTTTCCACCTTGCTTCTTTGCTCTTCGATGATGTAGACCTGAACTTTCTTCTGGATTTCTTTTGGGCAGTATAAATTCTACAAGGGACTGCATTGTTCAAAGGTAGCAACATCTCTCGTCTTCCTTTGTGTCAAACTCGAAATACCAGAGTTGTAACCAATAGTTTTAATTGAAGACTTGCTGGGATTATCCAGCACGTTGCTAAAAGACCTCAGAATTCCGCTAAGTTCGGAGTACTCTCCCCTGAAACCTGACCCATTCTTTTTGCTTGTATTATAACAAAACCTATTTGGGTCAAATTGGGTACCCGAATTTGAAGAGGGCATCCTCTTCCTTTTCTTGAGCCTCATTTCCCCCTTCTCAAAATCATTTAGGGGGTGTTCTTTTTTTTGGATTTGGAGAGGGGGGAAAGTTGGTCAATGGGATTTTGGTTCCCATTGACCAAGGATCCCATGTTCTTTTTCAGCTTTATGTGGGGACTAGGGAAAGTTTATTTTCCTGGGTATCACTTTCTTGGGAAAGTGAGGAAAGTGATACCCATCTCCTAGGTGGGTAAATAACTTTCCCACATAGGTGGAAAGTTGCCAACACTTGAATGGGACAAAAATGCCCCTTTTAATAATGGATTTCTATGACTAAAATGGTCATTGCCTTATTTACCTGGGAAATAAAAGAACATGGGTAAATGCACTTACTTGGGTAAGTGTTTCCCAGGAAAAACTTAGGTAATTGCATTTACCCGGGTAAGTAACTTACCGAAAAGCGAATGGGGCCTTAAAGTTTTCTTCCTTTCTGAGGAATGAAACTTATTTCTCTTTCCCCCCGCCCATTGACAGTATCCTGTCCAAGCTCTTGCTGCCATGTGTCCTCCACCCTACCACATCAGCATCATCTTCAATCTCGGCCTTTCCCCCACAACGACACTTCATGTTCCGTCGTTATCCAAACCCTCGTCCACACACCCTTCGAGAAAACCTCAACTGATCGAGGGACGTCTTCCAGCTTCACTTCGACGATTTCCACTATTGCATAGCGGAAATTCGTCATGCTGCAAGAGATGAAGACTCCTCCAATCGCCGCCGTTATCTTTTCCAGAATTGTCTTCTTCTAGAGGTTGAAAGGAAGTACGAATAACCTGATAGCAAAGGCTCCATTGTGAAGCTCCTTACTATTGCAGGAGATTGTCCAACTCTGCACCAATATCACTCCCAGCTCTGTTTCAAAGCTATTGAACTCTACTATTCTGTCTCCAACAACCAAAAATGCTCTTCTTTTATCAAAAGGGATGACCTACACACCTGTAACCACTTGAAGTTTCTTTTTCAGAACATTCAAAATAATCCTCCAGTCCAAAACATCTCTACCTGCTTCCAACACCAGTCTCCTCTCCCATCCTTCTGAGTAACCAACCTCCACCCCGATCCCTGTTTTCCTTTGGGAAGACATACCAAATATTTTCTATTATTGCCACAGACCTCAGTTACAGCCACAAACCAACCCTTCAGGTTAGATTTTAAAACCACATCGTATTTTCTCCCTCGAAGTTCCGACGAATTCATTCAACCAATTTTCTTTACAGAAATAAGTGCTCCATCAATGAACCCTTTCAGCCAACATGTGGTAGTGACATGCAATGCAACACTATGAGAAACCCACAGTTTTTTTTCCTTACTAAGGATTCATTTACAGCACCTGTTAGAAGAAGTATTCTGCTACAAGTTGAGGGGGCTAGAAGAGCTAGGGGCAGCCAAAGAAGACCTGGATGGAAATAGTGAGAAATGATTTAAGCACCATAATTTAATGATGGATATGGTACTGAACAGAATGGAATGGTGAAACAGGATTCATGTAACCAATCCTGTTGGGAGATGAAGGATTAATTTACATAAGTTTAAATCATCCAAAAAAAATTAAATGGGCCAAAATGAGTCGGTTAGGTTGGGTTGCAGCCCATGTACAATGTTAGAAATACGGGTTATTAGTTGGTGTGGGTAGTTGGTGGATGGTTCGATCTTCAACCCACATCCAACCCAAGCCAAACCATCTATTTGTCACTCCTGTCTGACTAATAAAGAAACATTGCATGAAAAAGAACCACTTCAACTTAGAAAAGAAGGGCAGGTTGGAAAATGCAGCTGATAATGATTATTGTGATGCTAATAAATATGATTTTCCTGGTAGAATGCATAAATATATTTGCAATGTCAGGCTTTAGTTTCGGAAACAAATTGTTCTCTTCCTCCCCAATTGATTTCCTAATTATGTATATACTTGTCCTATGGGTCTATTTTCATGGTGAACACTTAAGTACAACCTTAGCCTGATTGTATTTTTATGACTTATGGCTGGTAAGTTTAGCTTTATAGAGCATCCTGGATCTGGTTCAAGAGTTCAGGATATGTGCATTCTGACCATGGCCCAAATCCCTTTTTTGGATCAGTCCAAAGTCCCTAAATCATACAGCAAATTTACTGCATTTTGTTTGTCAGGAAATAGAATTTTATAGAGCTCTGTATGCTTGATTTCGCTCTTTGAGTACTCCTTAAAAACTCTCAGGCTATGTTATCAAACTGTCAGGTCTGAGTTGCATCTGAATTATTAATCTATTGTTTAAGCAAAACTTTTTAGCAGCATATTAAAATCTTTTTGCTTTCAGAAGGCTTCAACATCTATTCTGACAATTGTTTGACTGTTCTTGGTTCTTAGGTCTTGAAGATGCTAGCATTCCTTTTGGTTCCGTGGAAGGTACTGTTGAAATTTTATTTGGGTGTTAAAATTCTTTCTTCATCTCTGAATTCTTTTTTTGGTAGTATGCTTTTATAATTTACTTGACAGAGTAGGTTGTGTAATTTGGACTAATGAGTTACAGGTTCTATTATTGGGTTTCTTTTGATAAACTTCATTCGGTTGTGGTAAAGCTTACTCATATGTTATGGTTCATATTCTTTTTTTTTTTTTGTGAGAAAAGTTTAAAGTATTGTTATTCGTTATTTATCGAAAAAAAGTTTAAAGTATTGTCTTAAGAAAAAGTAAACAAATACACCCATTACAACCAACAGAGTCAGGAACTGTGCAACCCAAATATCTCAATCAGATCTTCTTACGAATATTCATGAACAAAAATTGTGTATATGTTATGGTTTTTATGATGGACAAGTTGGCATTTATCCAGTTTGGTTAATTGGTTCGTTCCTAAAGTAGCATGGATAATATGTGTCTTCTATATTGTTGAGAGAAGTCTGAATTTGTTTCTACATGTGCTTTGGTACCAATGACACACTGCAATTAGAACAAAAAAAGCAAAGAAAAAAAAGAAGGAAAATCTCCAATTAGAAGAGAAAGAAGCAAATAAAGAAATTGGATGTCACAATAAGGTGAGATGGATTTCTGTTTGCTTTGTGCTAATTATTAATATCTAGGTTATTAGTTGACTGATGATGTCATTTTTAAGTCCAAGATATCATTGTTCTCAACTAATCAAACAGAATGCATATATATAAATTCAAATATTTTTTGATGATGATGATGATGGATTAAGGAATATTTTGGTTTACCATCAATGGCATAGCTATATATTGCGTCAGAAAAATTCAATCCTTCTATTGGTTTCATTTCTATATATGTAGTGCAATGTTTTAAAAGCTAAAATCGAAGAAAAACACAAGTGCCTTTTACTGCCTGATGTGTAAGGGGATGTGCACACCTAGACAAATCAAGGTGCAGATTTTTTAAAAAATAAAAAATAAATAAAGGCACTAGTACATTAAATAATTAATTATTTTTAAAAGCTTATAAGCTCAAAACAAAATACATAAACATAAAATATAAAACAAGTTTAATGTGAAAGTGAAAGAAAACAAATGTGGATTGTTCTGAAGTGCCTGAAGCACTCAACATCTAAAGCATGTGAAGTTCTGAATGTGTTTGTCTATCTCCTAGTTGCATTACTTAAAATAGCTAGTATGATGTCAGGTTTCTGGCATTCCTAATCCTAGGAGGTTGGTGCCTTACACTAATATCTCTTCAGGGGCCCTTAAGGCAAATCCAAACAAGTCCATGCAGGGGGTTTGGAGGGAACACTGATGGCCTGAATTTTTTGCCCAGTATATAAAGAGGCTGGTTTTTATGATTTTGGTTGTAGTTCATTCTATTTTAGGGTTAGGGATTAGAGATCAATTAAGAAGAAACACAATGTCTCCCTTGTTTTCTTCCTCCTCTTTTCTTCTACTGCTGGAATCCTTTTTTCCTCTTCTGTTATCATTTTCTTCTTATTTTTTACTGATTACCTACTTCTACTTGGTACAAGAGCTCCATTAGGATCCTTGGAGTGGCTTCCATTCTAGTTTAGGGTCAGCGGACTGCATGGAATAAGAAGAAGGCTGATTGCTCTCAGTTTTGGTGCCCTTTCAATTCTTTGACACAATGACACTTTCTTGGAGATCCGCTGCTGGAGTCTTTGACCTCTCTAGAGGAATTGGTGGACCTTCTTGGGTTAGGGTTTTAGTGTAGAATTCTTCTCAGACCTTTTCCCCTTGGAGTTTCTTGTTGTTTTGGGCCTCAGATTGATCTGCCTAGAAATTTTTACTGGGAGTGTTTGCAGAGGTTAAGTGGTGATTTACCCTTTAACCAGGCTCCTGGGTTGTTTCTAGCGCTGTTTTTCCAAGAATCAGTTTGATCTGGTCTAGGAAGTTTTCCTTTGCCTTCTTTTGGAGTTTAAGATTGTTTGAAAAGCAATGGATGCTGGTGGGAGTGACCAGAAGTCTGCCAGTGATTATGGATGATTCTGGTAGGTGTTGGAGACACCCAGAATGCGGGATTAATAACTATTGTGAAATTGGATGGTGCAAACTACTAAGAATGGGCTCAAACTGCATGGATGGCTATTGGTGCAAGAGGGAAATTGGATATATCATTGGGGACACAGAAACTAGGAGCCTTAAATACATCATATACCAAATAGGTGCAAGAGAACTATATGATGATGACTGATTATGTACCTCATGCAGCTACATTAGTAAGAACTTCTCATAGATAAACACCAAAACAGAATTCAGGCCATGAAAGTGGCTTGTGCCTACCAGTTGAGGAGTCGGGTGAATAGCCTGTGTTAATCTACTAGTTCGAACAAGAAAGAGAGCAAGAGAACTCAGGGGCGTCAAGAATAATCGACCCACCCCAAAGAATCTCTTTTATATTAAAGAATATGTACAATTACAAGAATTCCCATATAGGGCTGAAATAGAAAAAGGAATAAAGAATACAAGTAATGTAATGTACTAATGTACAACAGGGATTGTACTAATAAAGTACATCAAGTCACAAAATCTCTACATTCCCCTTCAAACTGATGTGCAGACATAAGCATCAGTTTGCCTACAAGAAAGAGGTGTCGAGCTGTAGTCATAGCCTTGGTGAAGATATCAGCATGCATGTCTGAGGCTATGTGAGGAATTGATATAGATCCAACAACAAAAAGATCTCGAATAAAGTGATAGTCCACCTCGATATGCTTAGTCCTCTCATGGAAGACAAGGTTAGATGCAATCTTAATAGCACTCATATTGTTTGCATAGAGAGGAATAGGAGTTGGAAGGTGAGTACCAAGATCCATAAAGAGAGACTGTAGCCAAACAATCTCACTGCAAATAGAAGACACTGCCTTATACTCTGCTTCAATGTAAGACTTGGAGATTGCTATTGCTTCTTACACTCCCAATAGATGAGTGAATCACCCATAAAGACACACCACCCAGAAGTGGACCTGTGGGTGTCAGGGCAACCAGCCCAATTTGCATCAACATATGCTCTCAATTGAATAGGTGAGGAGGGGGAGAAGAACAATCCCTACGAAGTCGTGCCTCTAAGATAACAAATGACTTAATGAACAATAGTCATATGAGCTGATGAGGAGCACAAACAAATTGATCGATAACCTGAACAACATGAGAAATATCAAGTTGAGTCATAGAGAGATAAATGAGAGACCCCGCAGCTGGCGATACAAGGTAGTATTAGGAAGCAATGGACCTTCAGATTTAGATAAATTAACATTCAGATCTAGAGGTGTGTCAATATGTTTGTCATCAGTAATGTTAGCAACTTTAACAAGGTAAGAGACATATTTTTGCTGACAAACAAAATACCCCCAATCACTATAATGAACTCCCAGACCCAAGAAATAGGTGAGGGGGCCCAAGTCCTTCATGTGGAAGGAATTATGAACTAAGGACTTCAACTCACAAATACCTTCATCATCTTTCCTAGTCAACATGTCATCAACATACAATAGAAGAATGATAATACCCTGAAGCAGTCGCCTAACAAAGAGAGAGTGATTAGAGGAGCTCTAGCTACATCTAGCAGCAACTACAGCATCTCGAAAGCATTCAAATCATGCACGGGGAGCCTGTTTCAGGCTATATAGGGATTTTTTTTTCAATTTGAACAAGAATGAGAGCAAGAGAATTCAGGGGTGTCAAGAATAGTTGACCCCACCCCAAAGGGCCTCTTTTATATTAAAGAATATGAACAATTACAAGAATGCCGATATATGGTTGAAAGAGAAAAAGGAATAAAGAATACAAGTAATGTAATATACAATAGGGACTATACTAATAAGATACATCAAGTAATAGAATCTCTACAATCTGAAGTTGGGGGATAAGTCACTTGAAGTTTATTTTTCATCCTTGAAGACTTTGTGACAGGAGTTTGAGATTAAAGACCTAGGAGAACTCATAATTTTTGGGAATTGAAGTGGCAAGGTGTAAACATGGGATCTTTATTTCATTATGTGATTATGTCCTAGACTTGTTGTAAGAGACAAGGAAGCTTGGTGTAAACTAGCTAATTCTCCAATTGATTAAAATCATAGGATTAGTGCCTCTGATGGGGAATTGGTTAAAGATGTTGGGTGGTATCAACAATTGGTAGGAAAATTGTTACATTTATGCATGATGACACGAGCTGACACCTATGCAGTATAAGTGTAGTGAATTGGTATATGCATGCTCCTCGGACTTCACATAGGGCAGCCGTTGATAGAAAAGCTGCTTATTTGAAGAAACATCCAAGTCGAGGTGTATTGTTTGCTAATCATGGTCTTGTCAACTGTCAAGTTGGAAGCCTATACAAATGTAGCTTGGGCAGGAGGGAGCTCTGTCTCCTGGAAAAGCAAGCAGTCAGTTGTGGCTAGATCATGTGCAAAAGTTGAGTATAGATCTATGGCTCATGGTGTATCTGAGTTACTTTGGCTTTGATCTCTTTTAGGAGAGCTGGGTATCAATGTAGAGCAGCCTATGATGTTATATTGTGGTAATCATACATTAATAATTATAGTACATAATCCAGTTCAGCATTATAGGACTAAACACATTGAAGTGGATAGATATTTTATTAGGGACAGGGTATCGTCAAGAGAGATTTGGTTGCCTTTTGTCTCATCTGAGATGGTTGGCTGATATCTTCACTAAAGGAGTTGCAAGGAACAAGTTAGAGCATGATGTATGCAATGATTTAAAAACGTGTCTAGACGCACAGGCGAGGCACATTTTAGGGCTGATATCTTCACTTAAGTAAATGCGTTGCATTTTTTAGCATTTTTGGCCTTGCGTGCCTCGGGCGCAAAATGGCCCTTGCACTTTAAAAACATTGGATCTATGCAAGTTGGTAAGGATTAACATATATTCCCAAATTGATGGGAAGTGTTGTCAGTTGCTCATTTGTGGGCCTTTTATTTCTCTTCTTCTTCTTGGGTTCTCTTCTCTCCTACTACTGAAACCCTAATTTCCTCTTTTGCTTTCATCTTCTTATTTTTTGCTGATTACGAACTTCTACTACTTCAAAGTTAATAAATGATTGCTGGTACACAAGTACCAACAATGTTTTAAAACACGGCATGACGTGAGGCATTCCACTACTCAGAGGAATCAGGTGAGAATGCAAGAGGCGTAAGCCTCCTCAAGAGAAGGGAGGGATGAGGTGTACCAAAGGTGCATGCCTTGTACAAAAGCCGTTTGATGTGTACACCCCAAGGACCTAAGGTATATGGCATGCCTTGCCTAGATGTGTTCTTCTAGGCCTATACCTACCTCTAACACCTTAAAACACTGCTTATAAAAGGTGCATGCATGGACCAAAGCACAAGTCATACCAAGTATGTGCCTCTTGAAAGAGGGTTGTAGTGAGGTCAGGGTTTTAAATGCACAAGGCACAAAAAATCGCAAGGGCCAATTTGTGCCTGAGGCACAAGGCGCAAGGCAAGGCGCTCACCTTTTTAAGCAAGGCGCAAAATTACAAAAAAAAGGCTAAAAAATAAAAAAAAAWTCAGAAAATTAAAAAAATGCAAAAAATTCAAAAAAATTAAACATAATGTTAATAAAAAAATATAAACTTAAATTTTAAAATAAATGTTTTAAAAAACCTAGTATCTAAAATTAAAATACATAAACATAGCATGTAAAGCGTATTCAAATGAAAATTTAAAAATAAAAGCAAACATATAAAGCATTTTCAAACATGTAAAACCCACAATCTCTTTTTTTCTTTAATTGCATTGCCTCAAGTAGCTAATGTGATGTAAAACATATTGCATTCTTGATTCTATGAGTCGCCTTTGTACCATTCCCCTCGAGGCAAGCCCAAACAAGTCTATGTTAGGGTCTGAAATTCTTATTTCTCACATTATTGCAACATATGCATGCATTTGTCACAATTTTGAACTTTGAGGTTTCCTGCATCATCCAAACAGAAAAAATGTAACCTTCTAGTTAGCAAATCTGCGGCTGAACTGGTTGACCTTGCCAATGGTTTAGCGAACCGGATGGTCTAGACTGATTGAGTGGTTGGCTATGTGACTATCTTAGTGACTTATCCATTTTGATCAATCACATGTTGAACCAGCTGGTTGGATCAGTTATCACTGTCAACTGTCTTATAAACCAGCCACTTGAATCACTGAACTATTTGATTCGATCATCAGGTTTCAAGTAGATATTGGATAATCTTTTCTTTGGTGTTTTTTCTATTTCTATCATTGACAAAAAAAATATTTTTTATCACAATTTTGTTGAATATGATGAAGATATAAAAGTAGGTATTTTATAATGTCCTTTTACATCCATTTACCTTAAAATTTCTTCATAGATTGTAAAACGTCATCTCAAAAAGACTTGTCCAAACTATATGGGGTGGGTTACATGAATGCTTGGCCATACTGCAGTGCATAAATTGTAGAGGATATATCGATCTACAAGTTATAATTAAATTTTTACAGTTCCTTTCCAGCATCATACAGTTTTCTTTCCTGTTAAATGATTTATGCTGTCATTTACTCAATTGTTTTAAGATGTTAATGGGAGCTGTATTTACTTGAAGTATAGCTGCTGGAAGGTCAACACTTAACCTTGAAAGGCGTTTGGATCATGATGGACATCCTCTGGCCATCACTACAGCTGATGCAGTTGCAGCTACTGGAGTTCCCCCATGGAATTGGAGAGAGACTCCTGGAAATGGTAATGCTATCTAGTTATATTCTGAAGTATGATAACAATTTTTTCCATTATAGACTGTGTAGCAGTGTAGGAAGTAATCATGGGTCAAGAGGCTATATATTATGATTATACTCAAAGTCATTTGTTGTCTGGCTTGGTAAAAGGTGGGGGTTGGGGGATCCAAATTGGAAATAATTTTGATGTCCGGAGTTTGGTTGCCAAATTGTTGTTTTCCCAGCAGAATGAATCATGAATGAGTTCGTTCAAACTGATTTGTATTTCATAGCAAGTACCTACCATTTGGTTGATGAGATCTATTTCCATTACTTGATATTCCAATATAACTTCCAACAATGCTTACGTGTATAACCAGCCTGAAAATTTCTCTTTCATACTTTCTACCTTAACCAAAAAGAGACAAGGAAGTTTCTATTTATATGGCCAGCATAAAAGAATGCTGCGTATAGGTAGTAAAATACAGTAAATAAATTTAATCTAAAATTAGAGATATGATGTAAACTTGTTTTGAGAGTTTCTAATTTGTTGATGTGGAAAATCAATTATAATACAATTGAATAAGATCCTTGAAATCGGTAGATTATATTAATTTGTTAAATAAATCTAACTTAGCTACAGTGAGAATCCAAGATATGAACTTGGCTGAGCGTCACATGAATTGGACAAATTAGTGAGATGGATTCACTGGCCAACCTATGGATCACATTCTTTGGATAGGGCTCAAGTCAAATTCTATTGTAAATCTGGCCAATTCTGGTGTAAAAATCTCAGGTTGTTGTCAATTGCCATTTCCTCAGAAAGCAGACATGTTTAAAACATGGTATCTTATTTAACTTGAAATCAGGTGACTTGATCTCGATGTTGCAGCACAAAGAGCATGAGTGCCATGCTTATTTGTGCCTAGGCTCAGTTTGAAAGAGTGCAAATACAAGGTTTTAGAAATATCACATACAAGGTTTTGCATTCTTTCCAAACTGTATTTCTAAACCTTGTATTTGCACTCTTTCCAAACTTAGCCTGAAGTCCAAAGCATGTTTGTGGGTGCATGTTTGAGAACAAGAACTTCACTCACAAGAAAATTATTGGTGATGGTGCAGCCAAGGCATTGTATAACTGTATGATGGAAAATTAGATGTAATTATATTATGATTTTGAATGCAATCATTGCTACTTCTTTATTCAGAACGTTTTTCAGTTCTGGGTTTGGTCATTAAGCAACATTTTGAGTTATATCAGTCGAGTTTTCTACCTTGCTTCAGAACTACATTTTGACACAAGTTGTTGAGAGATTTTAGTAATTTTCATTCTTCTTTTGTAGGTGGGGAGAGCCACTCCTCTTATGGAGGGAGGGTTATATCAGTCAAGTGGGGGGACTACACTAGAAGGATTGGCATTGATGGCACTGCAGATGCAATTAAGGAGGCAATTAAGTCTGCATTTGGGTTAAGGACTAAGCGAGCATTTTGGTTGGAGGATGAAGATGAGGTTGTTCGGAGCCTTGACAGGGACATGCCGGTGGGAAATTACACCCTTCAGCTCGATGAGGGTAAGTGGGTAACCTGAATTCTTTTTCTTGACAACTTTGTTAAGATTTTGAATTTCTTTCCAGGTAAGGGAATTGGCTTCTTTTCTAGGCTAATTCTGATATCTTGGTTACAGGATTGACAATCAAAGTTTGTCTTTATGATGAATCGGACCGGCTACCTGTTCGTACCGAAGAGAAGACACTATACACCGAAGATGATTTCCGTGATTTCCTTACTAGACGTGGTTGGGTAGGTCTGAGGGAGTTAAGCGGCTTCAGAAGCGTTGATACACTGGATGATCTCCGCCCTGGTGCTATGTATCAGGGTGTGCGACTACTGGGGGACTAGAAATGTTGCTTTGGAAATCCTTACTATCAAGGCATCAAAGCTTTCAGAAATAATTTTTAGGGATTTCGATGTGCATTGATGCCCTTCCTTGAGATGCAATTTAGTGTAATGTTTGCACTACAACTTGCTATTACCCCACTACTGTACTGAGCTTCCTGACCATGGTTGCTTTGTCAGTGGTTTTACTTCTACATTTATTATGATCTTCGCGCCACAACTTGTAGCAGTGTTGCCCAATTGTGTATAGTCCTTTCCTTTGATGAAACCTCTGGTGGCCCATCATCATCATTTACTAGAGACATGAGCAGTGTTGCCCAATAAGACTAAAAAGAAGAGATGTTGTATCGATTTGGGTTTTATACATCTTGCACTCAAAGCTTCAGCTTGAGTAAAGGTTGGATGTACAGTTTGGAGCTTAAAAAGGAGCGTATCCACCCTCATTTTGCAAAGGGTTAAAAGTAACTTTGAACAGTTGTAAAAACCACCAATTTATGGTTCTTTCATTTTCAATTCACAACTCAGAAGTTCAGAAACACCTTCATCGTCATCATTCAGCAGAAGCACTTTCAGTTCTCGGTAAGTGATACACAGGAAAATAAATTTTCTTTGATCCTTGATCCTTATATAAGTTTGAAAAAAAAAATGTAAAATTCATTCACCAATTTTTCTCCCTCTCAAAATTTACAAAAAGAATGCCCCCCTTAATACCTTGTACCAAGGCGTGCACTAACTAATGAAAATTCATTAAAATTTATAGTTGTAATTTTGATTCGCGAAAACCTCAAACATGAGAGTTGAGCGGGGTGGGGACGTGATACGATCTCGTAGTTAGTGCTGTAATTGGATTCAGTAAAGTCCAACTCAGATCCGATTATGAAAAGCCTGCATTTGAATCCAATCAGATTTAAATACCTTGAATTCGAATTTGAATCCTAACAAATTCGGATCGGAATAAGATTTAATCCAATTCCGCTTTAAAATTTTAAAATACAAAAAAAGTTAATTACTTTTCAATTTTTATATAAGATAAATCAATAAAATATACATACTGAATTTATTATATATAAATTCATATATAATATAATATAAAAAATATATTTTATAACTTTAAATATAATTACATACAATTTATATATTAAGATCAATAAATATTATATTATAATTGGATCCAGATTTTACTTGGACCAAATAGAGTCAAATCTGAATCCAATCCAATTACATAAACACAACATCCAAATCCAAGGTAATTGGAACGGGTCTCAGATTTTCATGTATCATTGATATGCCTATTCGTAGTTGAGAGTTTGACCAACCAAAATCACTCTTGTGGTTTTAATAAATTTTCATTGGTTAATATATACCTTAATACAAAGCATTAAGGTTCATAAAAATTAATTTTCAACCTAAAAATAATATTGAAATAATACAAATAATAAATATTATTAATTATTAATTAATAAATGAAACAATTAAAATTAAAAAAATTAATTACTATAAAAATATTTAAAATAAGTAATAAATAACACAAATAAATTTAATAAAAAATATTAAAATAATTAATAATTAATAAAAATATTATTATTACTCACCGAACCACAATGGCGATGGTGGGAAGACAGGGGAGGGAGAGCGAGAGTGAGAGCGAGAGAGAGAACCGGGAAGACAGGGGTAGAGAGAGAGCCGCCACTGCAACTTGCAGTGACGGTGCTAGGAAGATAGGGCGGAGGAGAGAGAGAGAGAGAGAAAACTGCCACTGCAAGAAGATAGGGCAGACAGAGAGATGTATGAAGACGAGAAAGAGAGGTCGAATGGGAGGGGTTGTTTTGACTTTTGGCCATGTCTGAAAGTGAGTTTTCAGATCAAAACAAAAGTGAGTTTTCCCTTGTTTAAATTTATTTGACTTCTTTGGAAAAATTATTAAAACATCCCCTATATTACATCAGTAAAAACTTCCCCAATTTAAAAAAAAAATGGTTATGCATCACTTGCTATATAAATTTTCTTATCAACAATTATTTTCATTAAATCACCATAGAAAAGCTTAAAAAAACATTATTGATTTTGATTTTGTAGAAATAAGGGTGAGAGGGAGAGAGAGAATGAACGGGGAGAGAGAGAGAGAGAACTTCCAACAATGGTGGTGATTTCTTCCTCCGCCCCCTTTTCCTCTTCGTTGTCCCTCTCCACCTCCCCTCTTCGCATATCAAGAGTCCCTCGGAAAAACCAGCCCAACTAAGATCAGCCTCTTACACAATTTGTTGGAAAATAGTGGAGGGCAAATTCGACATTTCATTTCTTTCCGTTAGCACTTAACAGCGATGTCAATTTTTAGAAACAATAAAGCTACTTTAAGACAATATGTAAACAGTAAGGGTACATTTAGTCAATTTCACAAACAGTAGGGGTAGTTTAAGAAATTTGCCCAAATATTTATTCAAAACACACAAAAAAATTATAATAGATTTAATAATATTCATATTATTAATAACTCTATATTTTTACAAAATTCATCATGAAATTATGTAGTAACAATATAAATTATAATTTTATGGATGATTCAATTTAAATGTTATTCAAATAATAAAAATTTAACATTAAAAAATAAAACATTATTTAAATATTTCAATAACTAAATATATTAAATAAAAAAACATTAAAAATAGCTAAATAATTTTATAAAATATTTAATATTGCTCAATAACATTAAAATAAATAGAATTCAAATAACAAAAAACATTAAATATTTTACATATTATTTAAATATTCAAATAACAAAATATTTAACATGACTAAATTTTAAATAGTTAAAATAGCAAAATTATGTAATAATTTTAAGAAATTTCTTAAAAGTAGAAAAACAATTATAATAGATTTCATAATATTCATATTAATAAAATTTAATATTTTAAAAAAATTAATAACGAATTATGTAATAATAGTATTAATTATAATTTTATGGATTATTAAATTCAATAAATAATTAAATATTTCAAAAATTTAAATAACAATATCTATCTATATATATAGCAAGACAATCCACATCACCTTGCTTCTCCTTCCTCCATCACCCCAACCCTTCATTCACTTAGACTCTCTCTCCTCTCCCCTTCCAACCACTCCCAACTTGCCATCTCAGCACTCTCTCTCTCTCTCTCTCTTCATTCCTTTCCCTTCCCATTGGGTTCTCTCTTTCTCTCCCCCCACAACTCACGTTTCTCAATTTTTATAAAAACCTAACTTTTCTCCTTAATTAGCTAAATGCATGTTTTATCCTCTCCTTTACTTCTATCTCTAATTCCCCTCTATTCTCTCCACTTTCCCATAAAATAGGGTCATAATTTATTAAGATTTGGTTTTCCAAATCAAATAACATTTATATCTGTATACCTGATTTCAAGCAAAGAGAGGGGAATAAGGGGAATTCCATGTTTCCTATATATTGATGGCATTTTCCATTACTGTTAAATAATCCATTATTTATGAAAATTATTAAAAATTTCCGAAAAATATTATACAAAAAATTATGAAATAATTACTTCAAGAAATAATCCATTATTTAACAAATATTAAATAATTTATAATCTACCAAAAATTAATAAACAATATATTATTTAATAATTTTTGGTTATTAATAAATGTTCAAAATTCCAATGTTTAGTGTAATTTACATTAACCATTGTAATTTAATAATTTTTCATTAATTTTTACAATAATAATTTATTGATAAAAGATATTACTAATTAGGGTAATTTACTAATTTCTATAAAATCAATAATTATAGCTAACAATTATCAAATAATTCAGGGAAACTCTTTAACTAATAATCCACAATTATTTTTTAAATAACTAATTAAAAATTAAGAAATTAATCTATGAAAAGATATTCTCTAAAGCTATTTAAATAATATTCCATTATTATATTTATTATCCAACTGAATAATTATTAAGAATTTTAGGGAAATTAAATTAGAAAATTAATCTATCAGAAAAATTATTAAGTCTATCCACAAACCACTTGACTGACTTCGATCATATATGGTTTTACTTTAATTAACAACAAATGGTTTACTTTTAATTAAAATCAATGCACTTTACCATAATTACATTAATTTACTATAATTACATTTACTTTAACTAATAGTAATAATTTATGATTAAAAAGTAAATAATTTACATTAATTTATTGTTATTGTCAATAATTAATTTACTATACATTACTACTAATCAATAGTAATTTCAATAATTTTTTGGAAATTATTATAAAATATTGTAATTTATTGTTATTTACCTTACAATTTGTTAATTAGTTATAGAAAATTATTAGAATTGTAAGGATGACAAATTTCCTTGTTAAACTGGGGCCCTACCTTGCCCCACCCCAAAAAGGAGAAGTTTTTCTCAAATCTTAAATGGGGATGAGGTAGAGACGGGGTGGGGATAGGGAAAATATTTTTGCCCCAAATTAGGGAAGGGATTTGCATATAATTTCCCAAACCCAATGATAAATTAGTAAAATATCCATAGATTTAATATTAGTTTTTAAAATATCTCTAAATTTTTCTCATATTCTTTTAATCATAGGATCCCATAATTTCATTTATAAAATACCTCCAAATTGTCATAATGTAATTCCTAAGATACCCCAAAATTCTCATAATCCTATTTGTAAAATATCCATAGATTAGATTTTTTTTTTTGTGGTTTGCCTCAGGGTAGGGAAAATTTGGGGATTCACATCCCCGACAGGAATGGGTGCTTTACCCCAAACCCGCCCCGCATTGGAGTTGGGGGGGAGATGGAGTAGAGTGTCTTGACTTATGGGGGCAGGGGACAAGGAGGGGTGTCCCATCCATGCATCGCACCGGGCCCCTGCTAGTTTTTTATGAAGAACAGCCAAATATTTTTTATTAAATTTGCATTTTGTAGAAATATCTATTGAATTCACATCTACCCCCAAAAGTATACCACATTACATCTCAACCATGTATTGGAAGCATCTCTCAATGACAATTATAGGAGATGTTTTCGATGTACGCTGACATGGGCATGTGGGACGTTTTTGGGGCGGGTTCGGTGGGGTAGACGTAAACTCATATCTATTTGTCATTTAACGAGAAGAAGTTTGGAGGAGATTTTTTTCACTAAAATGTCTAAACCCATTAAAAAAAAGAATGCAGAATTTTCAATAAAATTTGCCACCTTTTCAGTTCTCATTTTCACAATTACACTGTTCGGTCCAGCTTTTTGAATGGAATCTAGATTTCTCTTTGTTTTTTAATAAGCGTTGGTGGAGGGGGAGTCATTCGTCTGTTACTGACATTTAGGTGTTTGGAAATTCCAAACTCCCAAGCGGAATAGTCATTTCAAATGCAGGCACAGGGGATTCAGATCAG